GCAATACATAAGACTATAGGTGGAAGCCTGAACCACATCCAGATCTTCAGAGATGGGAAATTTCCATTTGAAAATACGAGCAGACGAGCCTGGAGTGGCTAAAAGAACAGAAGATACTTCTTGAAAGAAGGACCTACAGGAAAAATACAAAACAATACAGGCAAACCGACTGTTACTACAAGAACAAGTAAGTTGCTTGCCCAGGAAACATCAAGGCAAGCGGTCACGTCCCCTCGGTGCAAACCCCCTTCCAAGACTAAGACTCAATGGAAATACTGATTGGTGACCACGCTTGTCACCGATAAGGGGAAGTGAGGGAAAAACAGCAATGAAGCTGCGAGCTAAGGCCTACAATGTTCAATAGACTTCTGTGAACCCGGGTGAAAACCTGGTTGGCCAGCAGTGTGACAAGACCTGGGGACTCTTGGGCCCAGAGTCAGTGACATAGACACAGAGGACTAGAGTGGAGAGTGAAGCATCCAGCTGATAAGAAGAGAGGGCATATGCACAAGAACACCCACACTTTCAGATAATACCCACTTGACCTGGCTTCAATGACTGCATGATCAGAGCTCAACCAGAAGAAAGAAGAGGAAAAAAAGAGTAATCTGATACAATTTGATGAACTTGACCTACACCTATGGATTCAGTAGCTCAAAAGAGGGAACAAATCCTTAAAGCAAGGATCATTCCTACCATACACAGAGTAGACAGGGATGAGCAACTTGGACATTGGCTACCCAAAATAGGGGGGCTACAAAGGCAAGAAGTGACTGGCTTACAAGCTTTCAAGAGGGAACCTAGAGCCAGGGGGCCTGGAGGAAGACAGAATCTCCAGTGAGCAGTATCCAATCTGTCTAGGCAAAGCTGATGAAATGAAATGCAGATGGGTCTCTTGTGCTACAATAGTGAGTAATTGTTATCAGGACTGATTGTGAGGGTTGGAAATGTAAAGGTAGACATTTTGTAGCAGCAAGAAGGGGAGTGATTGACTTTGCAGTCTAGGAGCGGAGGTCCCTGGGACCATCAAGGGAGAAAAGCGGAGAGTGGGACCCTACCCAGAGAAGCAGTGATGCCTGAGATGGAGGCAGAGACAATGACATGGAGAGATGGGGCAGTTGGGGACGTTAGACCCAGAGAGGGAGACGGGCTGTGTGCTGACCACCGGGGGTCAGGCTTGTAGTGTATACCCTTTGGCTGGTTGATGATGCATGGAGGGGATTGTAACCATGGCAATGAAACAATATACGATAGGATGAATGTAAAACTAATGTTCTCCTATGTAAACTATCACATAATTCACAATAAAACATTTTAAAAACAACATAATTCTAATGGGACAAGTTAAAAAAAAAAAAGACTCCATTGAGAATAAACATCTTGACTCCTATCACAGGACAGTCCCTATGTGGCCAGGTGCTATCATTGTGACAGCAGCTGGAGGAATCTGACCTAGAAAGGACTTGATTCTCCATTGACCTTCTCCACAGAGATGGCTTGTCCTGTAGTCAACCAGAGCCGTGACCATGGAGCCAACCTGTTCTGTGAGCCTCTATGGCCCTGACCACTAAGACAGCCCATCCTGTGTTCATCTACAGCTGTAACCAAGGAAATGACAGACTGAGGACAGAACTCACCAGCTCACTAAATAATAACTTATTCGGCTTTACAGCAAGTTTTAAAATCCTAAGAGGGTTATCTATCTGCATGAAGTGATACGGATTTAGCCCCTACAATACACAAAGTATTCATTCAAGTTCAAAAGAAGCCACCCAAACTGCCTCATATAAACAAACCACAAGAGGGTAAGTGGCTATGAACTGTTCAGTTGTGCTTTTAGCCAAAGCAGCTGGAATTTCTGCAGCTAGCCTCTGGAGAAGTACGCTCACCAGGTGCAGAGTGGTCCTCTCTTCCAGTCCCTGAAGGTAGACAGATCCATGCTACTGACAGAGGAACATGCGGTGAGACCCAGCAGAGTCTTGGTCAAATACTAGCCGCTTCCTCTTGGACCTATGTCCTAGGAAATGACTTGTGGGAGGAATCCGACGCACAAAGAACACACATCACGTCTATCTCCCCAGTGAAACAGTGAGACTTCAAAGGAGTGATGCATGTGGTGTAACCCCCAAAAAATGCTTGATAGAAAACCATATCCAGTAAAGAATTACAATTTACAACTGTAAGAGTTGTTCAAAAAGTGCAGACAGAAGCCCTGAAAAACTGTAATAAAATCTGGAAGCTGCTTAGTTATGCAACCAGAAAACAGCCAAGACTTGGGCACACCACTTTAATAGGTATCACACAGGCACCAGGAATGAACGCTAAAACCCCAAGACCAAACCCGAGACCCCTTCTGATGGTGATGGTTAGGATGCACACCAGGATGATAGCTGTGGGAGAAGATGCAGTGTGGGGGGGTTAAAAAGGCTAACAGAGACCACCTAGCCCTGGGAGCACGTGGGGGTGACTGAGAGCTCTCAGTTACATACTGTAATTACTGTCAAACATTTACTTTTAGATTCATAATCTACTTTTCTCCTAAGAAAACTGTGGGTGGGTGTACCCCAAGAGTTCCCAAGAATTCCTCACCCCTACTCACAAGTGTAAGGAGCTCTGGTGGCGTAGTGATTGCGAGTTGGGTTGTTAAGCTCAAGATCAGCAGTTCGAAACTATCAGCTGTTTTGCGAGAGACAAATGGTGCTTTCTGCTCCAGTAAAGATTTCCAGCCTCGATAACCCTATACAGGGTCGCTATGAGTCGGAACTGACTACAAATAACCTCCCCATCCCCCGCCCAGGTGTGTGCCCATAGAGTAGGGCTACACTCCACCTCCAAGGCCCCCAGATCCACAAAGGAAACCTCAAGTTAAAGGAGTCAGTAGAATCAGAGAAACAAAATAAGAGACAATCAGCCAAATCCAAAATGTGGGAATGTAACAGGAAAAATGACCTGGTTCCGCGTCATTAGCATCATCAAGGGGGAAAAGTGCCATGTGCTCTGCAGCCCTCAGCTGTACCCTCATTTTCACAAGGAAACATTCATAAGACCAGCTCATGAAAATGTGCGCTTGTCCTGATACTAAGGAAAAACTGTCCATTTGTTTAGGTGTGATACTGGTATATAGTTAAGTTTACATTTATTTTGTTAAGAACCTATAGAGATATCGACGAAGGGCTTTATTATGGACACACTAAGCAGTCTGGTATTTGTGGCAAAAGACTCCAGTATGTGTGTAGTGAAGGCAGGTGAGGGGTACATGAAGTGCTTCTGCACCATGTTTTCTGCTTTAGCAGATGCTTAAAATTCCCCACAGGTTTCCAGGTTCTCTTGAACTCTGCTTAGGTCTGTGAACCTAAGTAATCCCAGAGCCACACGAGCATCAACATTCTAACCACCCCACCCCATAGCCTCCCCTTTACTCTCACCTTGCTTGAGGGAAGCAACATTCCTTGTAACAAAGTCCAGCTTTTGTGCCAAGGTGCTGAGGTCGATCTTGGTCCTGGCAAAGATGTTAGTGCTCATGGACGCCCAATCCTAATACCCCAACAAAAAGAAAAGAAAAGGGCAGACATGAGACTGGTACAGAGGTTTTAGACTCAAATTCGAGGCAGCTACACTGTGCAGGGAGCCCCTGGAGAGCACCCTAGAACTAAAGCCCTACTGAGGTGCGGGACTCAACCTCATGGTATCCTCATAATAGGGACCTTGGGGACATACCCCTCGCTTCCACAAACTCTCAGACATTACTACCATTCACCACCTCAAACCACCAGACAGGCTTGGCTACTGGTGTTTGGTGACCACTTAGACCACAGAGGCCTGGTCAATACTGACCACAAATACAGTTCAACACTCAGAAGCACTTATGACAGAAACTCAATTTCCTTCCCAAACTTCTCATTTCTCGATTCATTCTACATCACTCTCCTATTTCATAATCATGGTTCTGCCACAAAGTTCCTTTCCAGCTCACAACCATCCCTCCATTGAGACTTCAAAACCTCCAAGTCTACTGTGCTGATGTCCAGCTGTAGCACTCAGGGCCTTGCTTCCTCATGCCCCATTCAGATCAGTCAAGGTCTCCGCTTGGATGCTTCCTTTCCCATGACTTTCCAGTGGCCTTGGGAGCAAACACAGCATCAATCCCAAGGGTGGTTAGACTGAACAGAGCCAAGCCAGATAGCCAAAATGGTACCAGAATTCTGCTCCCAGCACCCTGCACCTAGTAACAGGGAGACAAGCAGCCTTACAAGTGCAACTTCATGAATGAGAATCAGAATAAAGCATTCCCACTTCTCCATCATCTACACCAGCCACCCTTATGGCATGCTCCCATGCTAGCCCTAGACAACTGTGTCTCGATCAGATCTTACAAGAGGATACCATCCTAGGGTGAAGAGCTCACAGAATTCTCTGAAGATGCTATAATTAAATGACTACTAGTGTTACTGAAGTCAAAGGATATAAGGATCATCATAAACAAGAGAGATGTGGCTGAGGTCGGAAAAGGTTCCCAATGAGGAGTTGCTGTTCTCAGAGAGCTAACCTGGAAGCTCTCTGTTCTCTTAAGCTAACCTGGAAGCGCTCAGCCTCTGTGTCCTGGGCTTTTAGAGGCCAGACCTTCGTGACAGGCTGAATCCTACACCTCCAAAGCGTAGTTGGTACTAGCCTCCAGGTGAGTCTTTTCTGGTCTAGCCAACCCCTACTCACCTGCACAAATTCTCAGCTGTGGCCTGAACATAGCAGACCAGACCAAGGCACCCCAATTACCCGAACGACTACTTCTCTGGAAAACACAGTGGTCACTTTACTTAGGGGAAAACTAGGTCCTTTACTACACAATCCCATAGAGCACAAACACAGAGAAGAGAGCAGGACACTGGCGGACAGCCTAACACTAGCGGAGCAGGCAGGGGAGGTATATGAGGAAGTGGCATCTATGACAGACGGCACAGCGAGCAGTGTCACCAATAAAGACAGGGTGGGGACACAAGGACTCGTCGGGTCAATCACTTGGGATGGTGCTGGTTCTCTGAGAAATGGTAAACTGACTACAGTACTAGCCTCCCTCTGGCCAGATGGGGACAGGGGGGTTGTAGGTAATTTCCCTACTAGCAGGGATGAATTGGCATGGTGGTTTGTAGTGGAGACGCAAAAAGTGGGTGCTAGGAAGACTAGAGAAACTATTCCTGGCTCTCGACTGCTCTCATGTTCTTCCATCACCCACCTCTTCCAGAGTATCGCAGGGACCACAGATGACACCCAAAGGAAATCTGGAACTGCTATATAAGGAGCTCTGCCCAGTCTGTGCTGCTCGCAGACTTGATGCTGCCCAAAATAAAACTGTTGAGATGAGATCTTTTTCTAAAAGTGAGATAAGAAACCTAAAGGACGGATACAAACCAAAGCCGGGGAGTCTCCTATGAGCAGGCTGCTATCTTTGTTTCACGAGAGCATCATAGTCACTCTTGGTTTGGAATGCTTACAGGGCCATCATCACTCTCTGGGGAAAGGCTTTATGACTGTCACCACATCTGCTGGTGATGATACTGTTCTGTCTCAGATGGCACTGGAGGCGTTCCTGCACTAGGACCTTCCTCAATGGAAACAGCCACCCTAGCCGTCTCACTCTGGTACAGAAATCACAAGGCAGTGTCAGCATGTTCCACCAGCAGAGCCAAGACAGGCAGAAACCTGGCAATGGGAACACACATCTGATATATTAGAAGGGAAAAAGTGCGGGACCAACAGGCTAAATGATGCTTACTGAAACTGAGGGATTCAAGAGCCACTATCAGAGCCCTCCAACAATGGGAGCAGAGATGATTAGACAGAGGAGCTTCAATAGCTAGGACCATGGTGCTGTAAACACCCTGTAAATCCAAAAGCAACACAAAAGTTAACATGGCAGAGAGAGAAGAAAGTCAAAAGCCCTTTTGGACTGCTTTTGTTGAGTGGCCTTAATGAGATTTTAGAGGCCACATCTAAAGGTTTTGAAACTGCCCCCACCAAGATAGTGTCGGGTCACAATTGCAGAGTAAGGAGGGGATGAAGCAGGCAGGGGGTGGGAGGGTCACCTCCATGTTGCTCCCATTGATATGGAGGAGATGACTGATGACACACAGAAGGGTGATGGCAATTCTAGCCTCAAAGATTAGCAACAGAGGGGCAACATGGGCAAGACTAGGGAGAGGATGTCTACCCTGGGCAGTTGCAGCCTTCCCCAGCCATCTGGTTCTGTGCTCTCTTGCCCAGAAAGCTTATGGTCAAATCCCAGTACAGCCCTCAGTAGCTGGTCCTATGACTCACATGGGTTCTGTTCCCACTATCTGTCTCAACAGGAGAGGTCCTGCCAACATTTGCCCAGACCTCTGGCTTTTCAGAAATATATACTAGAATTTAAACTAATTCCCCTCTGACTCCAGAGAGGGAGAGTAGGACAGACCACAGAACCTATGAAAGTCCCTCTTGTGTGTATTAATGATGTCAACGTATTAATGCACACCCCAGTAAGCTTTTGCTTTCAAGCCCTGATGGGGGTTGCTACTGTCAAGAGTCATTCTAGTGGGGTACATGGGAACCTGTGACCTGTCCACTGATCTGGCCACTGGCAAGCCTCAGACTGACACATTAAGTAAGTCTCCTATGGAGATGAGACACTCAGAAGAAAACCAGTTCTGCTCCTGAAAGCCTTGTTACTTATGTGGATAATCAGCAGAAAGGCCTCTATGCCAAGGGAAAAAAAACCAACATGCAGACTGCACTCATCAACTACACACAGAGGCCAAAGAGCGTCCAGAGCAAGCAGATGTACTATTGACCATCTCCTGGATGCATGAAGGGTGGCTCCTAGGGATTCAGACACTATCTAAACTGGGCCTACATGCATGAACTAATACTGTCATCAGAAGATGCCAGAACAGCATAAAAAAAGCTGCCCTATCAAATCTGGCCAGGGCATTCTCAGCAGGGAAACCCTAAGGGAGCTAGCTTCTCATCCTATGCTGAGGCTTCCACTAGCTCATGAATGGACTCTTCAGACTCCCCCTCACCCTCCAGGCATGCAGGTGACTGAGCCTTTTAGCAACCAATGGACAGGCTTAACAAGACAAGACAATCCCAGCCTGATCCACACATCTCAGGAAAGTAGTCATGCTTAGAAGGAGCAGCTCTCTAAAAGGGTGTTTCTCATTTGGGCCACATGCTTGATCAGACTATTATATGAAAATTGTTCTTTTATCCCTTTTATTTACAACCATTCCCAATATAAGATCTGGATGAAAATAAAAAGATAAATGGAAGATAATATAAAGTTTTGATTACACAACAGGAACAAAAATAAACAGAAACTCTTAACACCCAGAAAAGCATGGAGGAAGGAAACACTAATGGAGGAAAGCTTCAGGCCAAATTCCAGCACAGCCCCCAGCCCCCAGTGGCTGTGGTCTTTTTTTTTTCCCCCAAAATGCTCCTGACAGCTTCCTCCTCCTGATAAAACACTCCCAGTACCACCTTCCTAAAGAACTCAGACTAGCAAGCCAATAAATCAATAGCAATTCCCGGACTCCTACACTGTCCAAGCAGAGCATCTCCAGGCAGGGCCCACACCAGGCAATACATCTGAAATAAGGACTAAACTGCATTTGTTGTTGTTGCTTTGTGCCATGGAGTCGGTTCCGACTCATAGAGATCTTGTACAGGGTTTCCGAGGTTGTAAATCTTTACGGGAGCAGAACGCCTCATCTTTCTCCCACAGAGCAGCTGGTAGTTTTGAACAGCTGACTGTGAGATTAGCAGCCCAATTTATACTTACTATGCTACCAGAGCTCCTTAGCAGAACTAAAAACCCAAGGTAGAGTCCGGGTATGGCGTTGTAGGATCAGCACTGGACTACTAACCACAAGGTCGGTGTTTCAAACCCACCAGCAGCTCCTCAGAAACCCTATACAGGGTCACTGAGTGGGAACTGACTCAACACCACGTTGTTGTTTTAAGTGCCATCAAGTCGGTTCCGACTCATAGTGACCTTGAATAGGGTTTCCAAGGAGCAGCTGGTGGGTTTGAACCACCGACCTTGTGGTTCACAGTCCAGTGCTGATCCTACAGTGCTACACCAGGAGTCCTAACAACACTTAACAAACAACTCCAGAGCAGAGGTTCCATGATGGAGGGCTACACTCTGAACTCTGTTCCCCTGACTGATTACTTTAAATCCTGTTGTAAGTGCCCTGGCATTTAAACTTTGTTCCTAGGAGTCCACACATGCCTTATGAAATTGTACTTATATATGTACCTTAACTCTGACACTGTCCCACCTCCCAACTCACAAGGGTCATTTGGACAGAAAACACGACACTGCCACACGTTAGGCAATACTGAGCTTGGAGGGCTGAGAAGGACCAGGTTATTGCTTGATTAGGCTATAGATACTGAAATCCCAATCTCAATATACCCAATTGTTTCCTTTTCTCCCTTGGAGGGTACTCGGAGAAGGGAGGGGAGGGATACTGTGATTTATATATGGAAGCCGGGAT